ATGCATATCACCTGTCAGAGTTTTACACTAAGATTATCGTATACTGAGAGAGTTACAGCAGTTTTGGTCAAACATTGAAACAATATTTGCGATCTCATATCATGCATGATCTGCTGGTGCTTGGAGTTTGTGCTGTGGAAGACTGTCAGTTACTGCCACGTCAAATTTTAGCTCGGTTTTGGTCAAATTAAATCAGTTAAAAGTCATCTATGGTTTTTTGAGATCAGTTGGATGGGGATCCCATTTAGAATTAGGTTGAATCCAAAAGTTAAATCAGTTGTAGTTGTCAACTCAACGAATGTTTTTTTGAGAGTTTCATTAAAAACGTTCAACTGATTGATGAGATATTTTGCTAATGGTTCACACAGATGAACACACACATCCATCCATTATCTTTGTTATTATTATTATTATGGTCTAGATTTGCGCCGCTCAAGGTGGCTGCATGTTGGAGCAGCTCTGTTACTTTCATTCTGAGATTTTGCTTTTGGAAACTTTAATTTCTCTTTTTCTGGATGTAAATCACATTTTTTGGATGATTGTTTCCTCTGGTATCAGATGCTGTGCAGCTGGAAGGATTTTTACTGAAACTTTTCTAGTTTTGGACATTTGTTATGATGCGTAACCATAGCAACAAGGCAGTTTTTTTACAACCACTAGCAGCTGATTAACATCTCAAAAGCTCAAATAATATCTCAACTACAGCCCCAAATCTCAAATGAGTTGAAAAGGATGTTCTGTGGATGCATTCTCATCTACCTGCCAGCTGTGCTCGAGTACCTGACCACTGAGATCCTGGAACTAGCAGGAAACACGGCTCATGACAGCAGAAGGACAGGATCGTCCCTCGGCACCTAGAGTTGTTTGTCCGCAGCGACGAGGAGCTCGGCAGACTGCTGGGAGGAGTGGCCATCGCTCTGGGAGGAGTTCTGCCCAGCATTCGGGCGGTCCTACAGCCCGGGGGAACTGAGAGGCCAGCCGAGTCTGGGTGGACGGATCAGACGGCATCTGCAGCCAGTTTCTTAGGATCCACTGTGGGATGGACCTTTACAAGAGATCCTTCCTGCTTACAGCCATCAGCATCTATAACGTATCTTAATGAAATGAGGATAACGAGTTACAACAACAAATAATTTCCCTCTGGGATTAATAAAGTATTTTTGAATTTTGAATTTTGAATTTGAATTGAATTTACCCGCTTCTTTCTTTTTGGGTCATGGAAAGTCACTGATGCTCATGTCCAGCAGTCACTGTGAGAGGTGGGGGGACACCCTGGACAGATCTCCAGTCCATCACAGGGACACAGAGACAAATGAGACAAACAACCATTCACTCTCTCTCTTACACTTAAGGACAATTTAGAGTTACCAATCAGCCTAACGTATGTTTTTGGTTTGTGGGAGGAAACTAGGGATGCACCGATCCACTTTTCTTTTTTCTTTTTTTCACTTCCGATCCGATACCGATATCTGCGTTTTGGTAACGCCCGATACCGATCTGATACAGAAAAACTGTGCTGAATTAACAAAAATTGCTAAATCGTGTCATCTGGACCCGTTTCTGAAACCGGTCCAGATGACATGATTTAGCCATTTTTGTTGTCTACCTGTGAGCTTACAAACTCAGTGCTGAATTGACTCAAAACATTAGTTTTTTTAAACGCAGACATGAATGTACTGAATTACAAATTTATTGAAAACTGCACCATAACAGCACACAAACACACCAAGAGCTTCACAAGCTCGGCCAAACATGTAAAAACAACACAACTTTAATTTGTTCAGTCAGTTCACTAGCGCGTGACGTCACTCAGAGCACAAAGCATAGAATTAGAGTGAAAAGATCTGCCCAGTCATGGATCGGTCACATTGTCACGATACCTGATCCAGAAGTTTTCCCCCCCAATATTGGTACCGATATCGATATTGGTATCGGATCGGTGCATCTCTAGAGGAAACTGGAGTACCCAGAGAAAACCTGCACATGCACAGAGAGAACATGCAAACTCCACCCAGAAAAGTCCCAGACTGGGATTCGAACTGGCAATCTTCTCGCTGAGAGGCAACTGCTCTACTAACTGAGCCTCCATGCAGCCCGAACACACACATGCAATAGCAAAAAAAAAAAAAAATCAACAACAAACTTTTGCTTCGCTTTCATCTTCAGGCTATAACAATTACGGAAACGTTTTCATGAAACTCTTAACCTATTGAACAGAGAGGAGTTTATTTCATCAAATGACAAGTGCTATCATTTTAACATTTGCCTGACGTACTCCATCCTAATTTTCTGCCACTGATGTAAGTTAGGTGGAATTTGTCTTGTTTAGGAGAGATCATATATCTCCAGTTTTAGCTTCTCTTCCTTGGCTCCCTGTCAAATTCAGAATTTAATTAAAATCCTACTTCTAACCTACAAAACTCAACAACCTGGCTCCATCTTATAATACAGATCTTATTGTTCCATATTTTCCTAACAGAGCACTTCGCTGTCAGACTGCAGGTTTACTTGGGGTTCCTAGAGTTTCCAAAAGCAGAATGGGAGGAAGATCTTTCAGTTATCAGGCTCCTCTCTTGTGGATCCAACTTCCAGTTCCTGTCCATGAGGCTGACACATTATCCAGTTTTAAAACTGGGCTTAAGACTTTACTTTTTGATCAATCCTATAATTTGTTATGCTGCTTTAAGCTTAGACTACTAGAGGATAAATTGATCTAATTTCCTTAAATTTATTAATCTTTATTTAACCAGGCAAATCCCATTAAGATCATAGATCTCTTTTGCAAGTGAGGCCTGAGTCTGAAGACAACCTAACATGCATGTTTTTGATCTGTGGGAGGAAACCGAAGTACCCGGAGAAAACCCACGCAAACACGAGAAGAACATGCAAACTCCACACAGAAAGACCCCAGGTCTGACCAGGAATTGAACCCAAGACCTTCTTGCTGTGAGGCAACAGTGCTAACCACTGAGCCGTTGTGCTGCCACAGAATTGTTAAAATTGAAGTTTTCTTTTGATAACAAAAAAGGTTGAATCATGTCATCTGGACTTCGTTTTTTTGTTAAAAAAGAAACGTTTCGCCCCTCATCCAAGAGGCTTCGTCAGTCTGAGGCCTAGCCATCTGGTATTACCCAGAAGCCACCCTGACTCTTGTGTTTCAAGCCTGCCTCAGATACCCCTGAAGTCTGGCCTTTTCACTAATGGTTTCAAAAACACAAAGTTTGTTTTCTCAGTCATCCAGGTATATAACAACAAAAAAGGTTGAATCATGTCATCTGGACTTCGT